TCTGGGGATTCACTGAAATGTGGTAGTTAGAAAATGTGACTGATGTCTAAGATAGAAAACAGGTTGATGAGAATTCAGGATGGATGTACAGGATTCCAGGTACTGAATTTAAATATTCAGTTTACTGACCCTGGAGATGAAAAGCAAGAGGCAGATGGAGCAGATGGAGATGCTGGAGAGACAAATGAAGTCATGAGTGGTATGGGAAGACTTAAAGCAAAAGGGTGGAAAGAACAGTCTGTTAAGCTTGATTGTGACCTTTGGACATTTGTATTATGGTTCCTAGCAGAGGTCAGTGTAAGGAATACTGGTTGCCACTGCCTTTGTCTGGCTATGATTTGTGGTGTGACTGTAAAGTATCACACACAAACATACTTTAGCTATTTTCTTCGTTTAGATCTCTCCCTGTGGGCTATATTGTTTGTCTTCTCCTCGAGGTTTGCCACTGACATGACAAACAGTGCTCTACAGAGGAGGAAACTTTAGAAACACAGAAATTAGAGATGGAAAATTCCTCTGTAAAAGATCAACTAGCCCACTGTGCTTGGTAGGCCAAGGGATAAACACTGTATTGTGCTTATTTAAAATACCACAAGAAGAAGTGTCCCAGAGCAACTTCTCCATCAGGCAGTGGATCTTACAGCCAAGCCATTGTAAGAGTACCCATCCTAATTTTTTTTTGCCTTGTTTCATCCTAGTTTCTCCTTCCTCGCAATACTAACGCTCTCACTTCTGTAAACCAAGAGTTGATCTCCAACAGAGTCTATTTTTTGTAGCGTTGTGCCCTACACACCAGGCACATCTGTATTTAGCTCTTTCAATTCATATGACAGTGACTCTAAATCAATCCTCATTACTTCTTTTTTTCTTTTTTTAATAATTCATTTATGTTTGCTGATGTCTTTTTGATGAGAAGATATTCAGGTTTGAATGCAGTATTCCAGGGAGTTTACACTACAATACCAGTAACAGAGGCCTTTGCTACAGTTTCTATTTATGAACTCCATTATCCCATTGTTTTCTTGTTTCTGCCTTTTTTTTCCCCTCTTGTCATGTCAAATTATGGGTGTGTCTAATTTGCCGCCTGCTTTCCTGCTGTTTTAGGTCTCTTTCAGCATTACAGCTTCTGAGAATTGTCTTCCCTATGAGTAGCTGGGATTTTAATTTTTTTTTGACAGGTGTAGTACAGCTGCATTTTTCCCTGTAGAAATACATTTTGTTTCCTGAATATCACTCGTGCCAGAGCTTTGACTTGTAAAATTGATAGAATAGTGTATCCTCAACCCCACCGCTTGGAGGTGCTTCCTTCCCTTCCCCTCCCTTCCCCTCCCCAAGCTTGAAACTATAAAAATGAACATTAAATGACAACTTAAGAAAAATTTAAATTTTTTATTCTCTTTGAAAGAGTTGTTTAAGCTTCACTGCATCACTGATACATGGAATTTTCTCACTACAGTCCCAAGAGAAAGATGAATTGCATTGTTAAATAATTTGCACAATGTCGCTGAGGACTGTCCTCACTGTCTGAGTTGGGATAGGCGGTTGCTGCTCCCAGCTTATCCTCAGTTGTCTGCCCCACACTCCTTGCGAGAATATGCAAGGCAACTTCAAGTGTAGCTACTGCCTTTGATGTCAAAATCATCCACTTCAGTTGGAGTCAACTTTTTCTTGATTGCCCCTCCTCCCCCCCACACTGGGCAGATGGAGTAAATTGGCTATCCTAGCAGTTGAAAGAGCAAGAGATCCTTGTGGATAGGATAAGAATAAAACATAGGATGGTAACTCCTTAGCCTGGTTCAGCTGCAGCCCTCAGCTCTTCGAAAATTAGTGCCAGAATTAGGAATGCTCTTCAGAAATGATGACTTTCCTCATTGCCCTCCTCATAGACCACACTGTGGGTCTTTTCCCAGAACTCATTTCTGGGAAGCACATGATGCTAAAGACCTGTTGGATCACACAGCCAAAGCAAAGGCGATACATTGTGGGTTTGTCCCATCATCAAGTGCGTTATAAGCAAACTAATAAAAGGTCACATCTGTTAGTCACAACTCTTGTGGTTAGGTTTGTATTGAACAGCAGGCTGTGTGAGAGCAGGACATGTGTGTGCTCAGTCTTGCTATAGAGCGTGCTACAGAGAGGATGTGTGGTGTTAAGGCAGCGTGTCAAAACAAAATTAAGGTTGTAGCTGTTTTTCGCATATCTGTTTATTATATAAATGTAGCAACATCACTGGTGTTGTCAGTTGCCTGCTTTTCAGTCTGAGATGACGCTGTAGAACAAGGCCACAGAAGAGCCCATTCCTCTCACACAAAGCACACAGTAGTGCATTTGCACCATGTATTGTCTTTGGGGCAGAGAGCAGACATCTATAAATTATCACTTGCCTGTGTAAGGCAAGGAGCTTTCTTTGAAAATCATATTCTTCTCTTTTTTTCTCAAATCAAAGCTAAAAGGGAAAAAGGAGCAATTAAAGGTAAGTTTTCTCATCTGTCAACCTAAACATAACTCTTCTCAGATCCCTTTCACTGCAACCTTATTCCACTTGGGCAAGCTTTAGGGCAGGACTTAACATTATTTAACTTTGAAAGCTTGGGGTGTTTTGCATAAACTCAGAGAGCTAAAGTTAGGTAAAATGAATCCCATCTAAGTATTTTATCTTTTTTCTACTGGGCTAGTGTTTCTAGTTGTATTTCTTGTCTGCTCTTGCCATATATTATATAAAGTCTTCCCAGTACCTATTCTCCTGCCTAACTGGGAGCCCTCACTCCCAGTGACAAAGACTATCTCCTTTTCACAGAAGCCTCACTCCTTCCTAATGAGGAAATCAAAGAGGACCTCCCCCTTCCTCCTGGTGTGATGGTGGGGATCTTTTCAGTTTTTTCCTTCCTATTCTCCCAGGTGGGAGTCCAGCCACACATCAGGATGGTCACAGTAAGTCCGTGTTGTGACAATGATGTTCCTCAATGGTAGTCCTGAAGCTAGAACCAAGTGGCAAACAGCTTCCTCCTCATAAACCCAGAGTTCCACAAGTCTCCATGTGTAGGAATTTGTCCCACATCTGAAATGTATTGTCAAATTTTGATTCATAATCCTGTGAGTTAAAATTTGGGGAAAGATTCCAGTTTGTGTGCTGGTGTTTTTTGGGTTTTTCTAGAAAACCTAGGAATTTCTCCCAGATGGAGCCTGCCACCTGAACAGTTATGTCAGGTCACCATTCTCTTCACCTGCAAGTTCCTTAGGGTCTTTGCTGGTCCGTGGAGAACAGTTCAAGTATGATAAATCACGTCATTGCTTTGCAGTCAATCTAGCCACAGTGACAGTCACTTCCCAGCTGTATCATGAGCCACAGATTGAGATCACCATTCAAACTTCACTTCAGCAATGCTGCCTCTGAGAAATAAGTAACTGTTGGCTTGAAAAGCAGGTGCAGAATGAATGACAATGTGCACTTTTAATTGTTAGTAAATTAATAGATATTATATGCTGCACAAGTATCGACTGTCATCATATGCCATGAGTCTGGGACAGAAACCATGTTTTTGTGTGTTCCTACAGTTTGCAGTGTTTTGTCTGTAAGCCCCAGGCACTGATTTCGTGTTCATAATAGTAAATCCTATTTGTATAACTAGTAGTAGAAATGGGCAGCAGATAAGGTTCACAGCACCTGAGTATTTGTTTTACACATCTAGAGATAGAAAAGGAGAATACATCTCCAACAAACACATCCAGCAACTGTTATCATCTAAGCTTGATGTGGATATTTACAAAACAACTTAAAAGTGTTAAAGGATCCCAGCATGAGCTAATGGATTAACACACTGGTTCCAGAGTAGCATTAACTTTTCTCATTCTAAGACCAGATGCAACTCAGTTGTAAAGTTATGATTTGAATTCTCTTAACAAGCAGTGCATTGGGTTATCAAGCATCACCGGTATCGTGGATAAACTAATTCACAGAAGGCTCTTAAACAGTTAGAGAAAATTACACTATTTTACAAATTTGGTTTGTCTCCTCTAAACATGTAAAAATTTTAGTGTTTTAAATTAATGAGTAGCTCCCCAAAAGTCGGCATAACTGTTTGCCTTACATGTTCCATGTGATTGCTCCCTGACTGCAGCTAATTGTGTCTTTTAATCTCTTTAGGGACTCCGAATAACAAGTGATTTTTTTTCAGCAGTTTCCTGTCCGATACCTGCTTGTAGATTGTGACAGCAGAACAGAGCAAACTGCACAGGGCTGCGGCTACCAGAGGAACCTTGAACCATGAGACCAAAATAAAAGAAGCCCTATCTTTAAATGGCACATCCCCTTCCCCGCGTTGCACGACCCATTTCTTTATCTGTAGCTGGGCGAAGGCAAATTCCACGCCCTGAGCCGGGCCTGCGAGGAGCCGGCGGCAGGTTCAGCATCTCTCGGCCGAGTCAGCGAGACGCGGGGCCGGGGAGGCGCGGCGGGGGAGACGGAACACCCCGTGGGACCCGGGCCGGCCGCCTTTCCCCGGGAAGGGCCTCCGGAGCTCCTCCATCCTTATCCTTCCCTTTCTTTGGCTAAAGGTCAGAAGAATTTACACTTCCTGACTCTGACGGGACAGGACGGGTCGGTGCGGGCTACCCCCACCGGGAGTAGGGTGGGAGCCGGGGGAGGCAGCGCGGCTGCCCCCGCTCCGCCCGGCCCGGCCGGCTCTTGCCTCGGCGGGGAGGAGCCAGCCCGGGGCAGGCTGTAGAAGCCAGGGCTGGCCAGCCGCCAGGAAGTGTAAAATCCTGGCCGGTGGGTGGCAAATTTCGCCAGATCGCGGCGAGGAGGCAGCGCGTCCGTCCGTCCGCCCCTCGGCTGGCGGCGGCGCGGGGATCGGGGATCGGGGCGCTGCCGCCTCCCGCTCCGCAGCCCGGCCCCGGGTGAGTGCGAGCCGCGACCTCAGGCTCCGGCCCCTCTCGGACTGGGGGCTCGGGGCGGCCCGGCCCGGGGGGCAGCGGGGCTGGCGGTGATGCCGCCGGCGGCCCGAAGGGGATGTTTACCGGGGGGCGGCTTGCGGAAGGGAGCGGGCTGGGCTGGCTCCCCTCGCTCGGCGGTGCCTTTGGAGCACAACGCTGGCATAAGACCTGGGTAAGTTCTCCATTTAAAAATATTAAAAATAGACCCTCCGGCTCCATAGCGCTGCCGAGTGAGTCATTTCCAAACCAAATGTCTCCGTCTAACCCTTCCCCCCAGGAGATGCAATAATTCTGAAACCAGGGGTGATGGGCAAGAGATTTTTCTCCCGTCTTTTTCTGAATAAATCGAATTAGCACATAGCTACTGCAAGAGGAGACAAAAGCCGTAAGAGTAGATGGCCACCTGTTTAAAGAAATGAAGTGTATCTCCACTCTTTTCTCTCTTCTCTTGGGCCTCTCTCCCATGGTGATGCCACCCGTCTTTCCCCAACACTGGGAGCTTCTCTGCCCTAGGAATATTTACAGTGCTTTCCATTTTCCTGGACATAGTCTACTTCTCAGTTCTTGCAACTGCCAAACACATGCCCTGCCACCGTCTTCTCTGTGGGACATCAGCCACAGCCACACGTCATTCCAGCAGTGACTCCAGTCAACACAGCTCCTGACTGTCTATGCTGAAAAGAATAGTCCAAAGTACAGCTATTTTTTTTCCACCTTTTCCAGTCATATGATGGTTTGTTCATGTAAGTGGGTTGTCTTGACTAGGGGAACTTTTTGTTTGTCAGAAACAAATGCTGACCGTATTTATAGATGATGCTGTAATTCCTGTGGTGTGAAAGGTTTTGGTTATGCAGAACTCATCGGTACCTTGATCAGCATGCAAGACCTGTTTACATCTGGCATATAGTGCTGTATGTGCATACATATTTAATGTATATACCCATAGATCATATTTCATGGTAAGGCAGCGTGCACAAGACACGGAGGCTGATATGCAGACTATGTGTTTTTTTTCTAAAACAGATGCCACAGTCCAACTGTTCAGTAGCCCCTAACAGAATAGATCTGAATCAGAGGAGACAAGACATTGTGGTTTACTAATGAACTGACTTTCTTGAAAACCACCTAGCTGGGGGTAAAATTCTGTCCTCTGACCTCTGTGAAGAACTTTGTTAGCATTTTAACAAAAAAAGTGATCTATAGTTGAAAATCTGTGCAGCAAATTATGCCATGACAAGGATGTTGGGTTTGAGAACATGTTCTGTGGTAGCAACCCAAAACTTAATGACATATCTATGTAGGTTAGTGGAGAATGGTGATGTAAAAGCATTTGCATTCAATTTTTTTTTCTGCTTAGATTCAATTTCTCCTATTAAAGCTACTTATATTTTTTTACAGTCAAGAGAGACCATTGTGATTGATTGACCTGTCACATAAGATGCAGAGTGTTGAGAGATTCCTGCAGAAGGCATGCAGCTTTTCTTTCAGCTGTAACATGGGAAACATTCATGAACTCAGGGCTGCTACCAAAGTTCTGAACCAAAAAAAAGACAATATTCTCTTGTGTTCCAAGACACAAGAAAAAGCAGACTTCAGATCCCAAGGAAATGCAAATTTCACAGTTATATAAGACAATGTGTGCTCTTGATACACATTGTTCATAAACAATGAATGGCATTCTCGCTAAGATAGGAAAGTTCTTGGATTTGGGTCAAAAAACATCTACTTTTTGGTGAAGCTAGGAAGAAACTTTTCCAGAGGTGGATTATTCTGTGGTTCTCTATGATGGGGGTGTCCGGAATCTCTTACTGAAATAGCTGTCAAGTCAAGTAAGGTGTGTTGCACTGAACTCTACATGGATGGTACCTGAAAGTTAGAAGTGCCAAGGGTGAACAGGGAAGTACAAGTGCACTCAAGCATTTATGGGAGTCTTTTTTGCTCTGTCAGTTTAATAGCAATATTTCCTTTTGGCAATTTTGCAGCAGAGTTAAGGTGACAGTTTCACATTTGTCTTCCGTCTTCAAGATAAAATTCTCTGTAATTACTTTTATTCAGTGTGTTTATGGGCTGTCTGATATCACCTGAAACTCTGATAAGACTTTCAACGTTCACTTTCAAAGTTCAGCTGGAACACAGGTAGTGTTTACTGACTACTCAGTCTCTCTTGGAAGAATTTCAATTCCTTAAATTTCCAACAACCAAAGACACAGAACAGGTGAGATATTTAACCTTTTATTTGGTGTAGCTTCCATTCGTATGGAAAGAGTGGAGGAATGGGACTTGAATGCATCATCAAGGATTTAAAAGTAGAAGACATATAAGTACTAGAATTTTATCCTTTTTGTAACTCATATTCAATGAGTTCAGTTTTCATGTGACTTTTTTAGGTGCCAGCAGTATTGTGGCTATTTTTCTCCATAATGTATGGCCTTTTGTACTCATTGTTTCTGCTGATGTGAGTTCAAGCATAAATATACATTGACTAACTATGTGCTGGGTTCCAGGGCTTATTCAGTAGGGCATAACAACCCGTTCTTACTACACAAGATGGGCTTAAGTGCAGCTCAGAGGATGGAAGATTGTACTGAGGATTTTAGCAAAACCCCAGTTACACTAGAGCTGGCTGAGGATGGGCTGGGATGTATAAGGAGCTTATTAACTGCCATGTTTTGTAGCCCCAGGGTTAAAAATGTGGGCCATACTTGTGTGTTTAAGAACAACAACAGGAATGTGACAACAAAAAACAAACAAAAAGGAATAAGAATGAAGTGCAAGAAAGCACAAAGATAACAGGTTGTCATTCTAGTTGCAGGAGAGATAGTTCCGAAAATAATTGCAGTTGCTGACTTATTGTTTGATTTTGATAAAGTGTATCCTGAATGCTTTCCGATTAACATTCCTAGAAAATTAAACATGTAATTCCATTTAGACTGATATGACCTTTTTACTTCTGAAACTGTGTTTTTCTCTCACTTCATGCTTCTGCCTCACATACAATCACAGAAATATAGAACATTTTGGCTGAGAAGGGACCTTAAAGATAACCTACTTCCAACCTTCCACTAGACCAGGTCGCTCAAAGCGCCATCCAGCCTAACCTTGAACAATTCCAGGGATTGGGTATCCACAAGTTCTCTGGGGACCTGTTCCAGTATTTCATCACTCACAGTACAGAGTTTCTTCCTAATGCCTAATCTAAACCCACCCTCTTTCAGCTTAAAGCCATTTCCCCTTTACCTATTACTATATGCCCTTGTAAACAGTTCCTCTCCAGCTCTCTCGTAGCCCCCTTTAGGTGCTGGAAGACTGCTCTAAGGTCTCCCCAGAGCCTTCTCTTCTCCAGGTTGAACAACCCCAGCTCTCTCAGCCTGTCTGTGTAGGAGAGGTGGTCCAGTCCTCTGATCATCTTCGTGGTTCTCCTCTGGACTCACTCCAGCAGGTCCTTGCCCTTATTGTGTTGGGGGACCCAGAACTGGATGCAGTACTCCAAGTGGGGTCTCATAAGAGCAGAGTAGAGGGGGAGAATCACCTCCTTTAACCTCCTAGCTGCACTGCTTTTGATGCAGCCCAGGATATGATTGTCTTTCTGGGCTGCAATTGCACATTGCTGGGTCATGTCAAGCTTCTCATTCACTAACACCCCCAAGTCCTTCTCCCCAGGGCTGCTCTCAATCTATTCTCTGCCCAATCTGTATTTGTGTTTAGGATTGTCCTGACCCGGGTGCAGCACCTTGCACTTAGCCTTGTTGAACTTCAAGAGGTTTGTATGGGCCCACCTCTCAAGCCTGTCAAGGTCCCTGTGGACGGCATCCCTGCTCTACGGGGTGTCAGCTGCACCACACGGCTTGTTGCCATTAGCAAAGTTGTTGAGGGTGCACTTGGTCCCACTGTCCATGTCACTGACAAAGATGTTAATCAGTGCCGGTCCCAATACTGACCCCTGAGGAACAACACTTGTCACTGCTTTCCACTTGGACAAGGAGCCATTGATTGCAACTTTGAGTGTGACTACCTTCAAGAAAGCATTCCTGTGGCTTGTCTGTTACCCTCTTTTAGTTTTATGAATCTGTTTGTGAATTTCACTGCATTTGACCAGGGAAGAAGTGGTTTAAAAGGATAAAGTTTCTCTGAGCTTTGTGGAAATATATTTAGAGCCCATGCTGAAAGAATGGCTGTTTTGTGGGGGTTATCACTTCCTACACGGGTGAAATTTAGAAGGGAGTGTAATGCTAAGTTACTTTCAGGGTTTAAAAACATATTTGTCAATTCAATCCAAAGGCCTTTTCTACAGAAAGAATTTGATAGCTTACTCATACTTGTGTCACTCAGGTAATACATTCCTGGCCTGTTTTTCTCCAGTAGGGATGCACTTAGTAGTGCTATTAAACACTATTCCTGCCAGTGGAAGGAAATAATGATTTATGTGTGTATCACTTTTTTTCCATGTTTTCATGCTTGTTCCCATTTAGCTGTACTGATTAAAAATCATCTGGTAATCAAGCAAGTTTAAGACTATTAGATCTGGAAATAACATAGGCCACTGCACTGGGGGCCTGAGATCTTGGGAGTACTGTTTTGCTATTAAATCAGTTGAGGGTTTTGGAGTGTGAGAGCTTGAGTAAAGCCTTGATATAGAATTGGAGACAAAGCAATGGTGATTTTAAATCTGCTGTGTCTTAGTGGGTGAGACTCAAAAGAGGGGTGCAGATAAGTTTACTGTTTAAAAGAATCTGTTCTAGCTGTCGTGGATTACGACAGCACTGCAGTGTTCCATTTTGAAAGGATTGTTACTGCAGCTGTCATGGATACAGCTTTATGGAATGCCTAAAATACCTGAATGCTTTCAGTTAATCAAAAAATGGTGATAGATCTCCTCTTTTCCCCTTCTTATCCATCCCTCCTTTCTATTGGATTGGGTTCTTATTTTACCAAAGAGATTCAATGTTTTTTTTCTTTCTCAGATCAGTACATCAGTTTTATGATTCTGAACCTTTGCTACATTTTTGCTTCTTGCTTTTCATAGCTACATTTTTGGTGTGGTAATTGCTTATTCAGGCAATACAATTTATTTCAACCAGATTAAATCAGCTGTTAGTGAATCTCATTCAAATTTGTCTCTACCTTCATACTGGTCAGCTAAGTGATTCTAATGAGGTGTTCTTTTATTCTCCA